TTCAAAATTTCTTTGGGGGGTTTTGCTAATGATTTTGCTGTGTGATTTTGAAAACTAGACTCCCACGGCTTTGGGGATTTGCTTTGGCAACCAAGACACTCTCGATGGTATTTTTTTTGCTTGAGTTTTCTTTCGAATCCAAGTTAAAATTTTCTTCATGACAGATATTTTTGATTGCTTTGACAGGAGGAAGAATTGGGGGGAAATCTGAAGAGGCAACTCGAGAAGCTCTTTGATGCTTCTCTTAGACAACCACTTCCCTATGAAGAAGCTGGTGTTGAGCCCTTGGTTACTGCTGCGTCCACTGCTCGAAAGAAAAAGATTGGAGATTATCGATGGTCTGCCGTCTTTTGCTTAATGCAATGTAAATTATGTTCCTTTCTGTTTGTTTGCCTTTAACTTGTTTCCTCATACTGTTGTTTACAGTAACAATGCAATGCGCCTATGCTCCATCAAGAAACTACCAAGTCATTGCGAGTTACTCTTTTATGGACAGGTTTGTTTCTTGGGTCTCGTTGTAGCAGACTCTTGTTGGATATAGTTTTTCGTTTTAAACTCTTACTTTCTTCCCCTTTTCACTTAGGCCCTTATTATGAACCTCCCTACCTCTGAGATGGTGCAATCATGCTTTGTAGCTGATCATGGATCTGTCAATGTTGTACTATCATCTAAGTGGATGGCCAAGGTGCTCCTGTTGTATTGCTCATTTGTATAGCCTTTTTCTAGTCCCTTATATATATATATAATTTATTTCCTCATCTATCCGCAGGGCATTGCGAGTATGCTTACCAATGGAATTGACTCATGGGCGCCTACACTTCCGGTTAAGAGAGCCGTGGTTGATTTTTGCTCTCCCAACATTGCAAAAGAAATGCATGTTGGCCATGGAAGATCAACTATCATCGGTGACTCGCTAGCTCGCATGCTCGAGTACTCAAACGTTCACGTTCTACGCAGAAACCACGTCGGTGACTGGGGAACAAATGTAGCTACTTTTCTGCTCTCCAAATGATTTCTTAACCTTGAGCCCAGTGTTTTATTGTCCTACTCCATTTTTTCCCCCTCATCAAACAAATAAAAGCTGCTTTCTCTGCAGGTTGGCATGCTGATCGAGTACCTCTTTGAGCAATTCCCTGGTTCAGATGGTACGGCCGTGACAGCAATTGGAGATCTTCAGGTCAGCTGCCTTACATCATCTCAAGCTCTACACTTCTTCTTATGTACCAATATTGGCAATGCATGCTTTATGTGAATAACCAAATGAATTCAGTTGTCTAACTTCAAATGTCATCTGATAGTCTCTTTACAGAGATTCAAAAGCGAAATTTTACTGGGATCCTGACTTTAGGAGAAAGGCACAACTTGCTGCGGTCCGTCTACAGGTATATTGACTATCTCCCAAACCTGAACCACTGTCTTCTGTTTGGTTGTGTCTCAGTATGCTGCAGTATCTAATTTACTCTCTCTCCCTCCCTCTCTCTCTCTCCCTCCCTCTCCCTCTCTCCCTCTCTCCCTCTCTCCCTCTCTCCCTCTCTATCTCTCTCTCTCTCCCTCTCTCTCTCTCCCTCTCTCCCTCTCCTGCATTTCTTCTGTGCAGGGTGGAGATCCTGCTTACCTCAAGCCTTGGGCACATATTTGTGAAATCAGCCGGACCGAGTCTGCCAAGGTTATTAAGCGCCTTCAAGTTGAGCTTGAAGAAAAGGTAAAGGATTATCTACATTTTTTGAACCAGAATGGAAAAGAGATACATGGATGAGTAATGAGAAAAATACATTGATTCATGACAGGGAGAAAGCTTTTACAAACCTTACATCGCTAACATGATTGGAGACTTGAAAAGCAAGGGGTTGGTTAAAGAAAGTGATGGTGCTCAGGTGATGTTCATCAAAGACTTCATGATCCCACTCATGCTGGTCAAGAGCGATGGGGGTTTTACCTATAACACAACGGATATGGCTGCTCTTTGGTTGGTTATCTTTCCGTTTATTAGTCTGGACTTTAGTAGCAATCTCTGGAAAACATATCTCATATATTATGACTTTTTTTTGTTTGTCTGTATTTGCTGAATTGTGTGGCTTAATCTGAACTGCAAAAATCTGCCTGCCCCAGGTATCGGCTTAATGAAGAGAAGGCTGAGTGGATTATTTATGTAACAGAGGCTGGCCAGCAGGGGCACTTTGATATGTTATTCAAAGTAGGTTTGATGAACATGTTCTGTTTTTGTTTTCATATTTGAATGAAATGTTGTCTTGATTCAAGCTGTCAATTGTGACTGTGGTTATCTTCTTACTCTGAATCAGGCTGCCAGAAAAGCAGGTTGGCTTCCATCCAATGTTAAAACTTACCCCAGAGCTAGCCATGCTAGTTTCGGTAAAGTCCATGGAGGAGGTAACAAGCAGTTTAGAAGTCGATATACAGATACAGTCCCCCTAGTTGCTTTGTTGCATGAGGCCAAGGGTCGCAGTAAAACTGCCCTTATTAAGCGTGGTATATAACTCTTTTTCAGAAAATGTTTACGTTTTGGATTTGGTGAACCATTTGCTTGTTCAGTTATCATGTGACCCCTTACATGTTCCTCTCTGGTTAGGTTATGACAAGGAAATGACACTTGATGAGCTGGACCAAACAGCTGAGGCAGTTGGTTGCGGTGCGCTGAAGTAAGTATCACTTCTATTCTACTGCCCGTGATAGTGAATGTATTTAGTATCTTCTGGTTTTCGGTGCACAAATGTGCTGTAGCCATTTTATATTTTCATGCTACAGCTAACTTGTGGTTTTGTTTAATTTTCTTTCAAGGTATGCTGACCTGAAGACAGATCGACAAGTTATACTTTCAGCTATGATCAAATGCTTAGTGACAAGGTGCTGGAATTCGGGATCTAGTCTACATATTTTCATTATGTAGTCTTGTACAAATGCTTATTGAATAATTGATCATATGACATGAGCAGGGAGATACAGCTGTTTACCTTCTTAAAGTCCATGCTCGGATCTGCTCAGTCATCAGAAAGTCTGGCAAAGACATAGACGAGCTGAAAAAGGTATTTTAGCAGCATGAACTCAAATAACGTAATCTCTGTGTTCATTACTGCTGTTCTACTCGTCCTCTTGACTGCACCTGAAGTTTCCCGTTGTCGTTTAAAG